ATCACAATATTAAGATTGATCTAAATTTGATTTAAATGCATTAAATATTAATGTACATTGTAGTCGATCTATAGCAACAATTTTAAGTGCCTGTTACTGGCAAATCCGTGGCTCTCTTTAATCAGAATGAATTAAGTTATATAGTTAGGTAACACTGGGCGTTAAAACAAACCTATGAAAATGTTAATAAACACTTTTTATCTAAACTTTTGAAATTCGCCTCTGAATTTTATTGTCGCAGTACTTTAAGCAATAAATCAATGTTGCTATAGTATCAGAATTATCTTCTTTATTCTCATATGCAACCTAACTAAGGAGTGTCTTTGAAGAAGTCTCTGCAAAACTAGCTTGAAATTGGAGGTGCCATCGGACCCAAATGATCACATCGAGCATGTATATATATGGCGCTCTACATAAAGAACACTTATATTAGACCTATATTGAAAAAAATGTAAACTTTTCAAAAATTCGGCCAAATATAGTTTGGCCGTGACTTTTCCAAATGCTATGGCCAGGCAAATTTTTATACGGCCAGATTTGAGAAATCTGGCCGTCAAAAAGGCCAAATGGCAACCTTGTTCGCAAGAGGAATTAATCCGCTCAGCGTGACAATAGTAAATCAAACGTTATAAGTCTAAATAATTAATAATTAAGTATAATCAATATTATCATAAATGAAATATGGTAATAAATCGAGTTTACATAATACTGTATAACAAATATAGTTTGCACTAGTTCTGTGCTGGAGGGATATCATGGTAGTGCTAAACATAGCTTATATATGAGTTAAACAGATGGCACGTACAATACACCCTCACATAACCACATATCCTGTTTTAAAGACATTCTTTACATTATTTACCACGTTTCATTGATCTTTGATCTTGTTTTTGTGTTCTAATATGGGTACCTCTATATTTCCTCTACATTGAGCATAATCACTTTGCTATTATAACAAAAGTCAATCAAACTTTGACCATTAACATTTAGGCTATGTCTCAATATCTCCCATTAATTATAGTGAATGTAGGTAAAATTGGCCCCGGAAAAAATGGCCCAGGAAAAAATGGCCCTGGTAAAAATGGCCCCAATTGACACGTAGGTAAAAATGGCCCCAATGAAAAAATTCAGTAATAAAAACATTTTTTTTTTAAATCTTCAAATATTTAAATAATAGCTGTAAAAAGCAAGAATTTAATCAATAACAAATACAGTTACACAGATGCAAAAATATATTAAGAGATTATCGGAAAACAATGGCCATTGAATACCATTTTTTGAAGAAATAAGTTTTAAAAACGTTATTCCACTAACAAAGTAGAGGAATGACATACATACAGTACTTCAACTACCAAAATATGCAACTCATAGATAACTACAAAATTCACTTTTGTTAAGTATCAAATGAAATAACTTTACATGTTATAAACAGTGCAAATAAACAGTAGATAAAGCATGTGGATCAATTGTGTGTTTTAATCACAAGTTTATGTATGGGAAAAGGGAGAGGCTTACTTTTCTCACAAACTTATAGCAATAAATGTTCTGCTTAGAGTTACTTCAAAGAAGTATTTGTTAATCATATATTGTTTTTAAAGTAAACTGAATAATTAGGAATAGGCCTACATTTATTAAGCAACTTATTTAATTGCATACTTGGTTTTTACTCCCTGCCAACTAAATTTAAGTCCCTAAAACTATACTAAATAATGTATATACATATGTAAATATGGCAATTATGCTAAGAATTAAAATGGCATGTAATTGTGAGGGTAGGGTAATTATTGTAGGATTAAATGGTATTTTTAAATCCCACAAACCTCCCAAAACACACTGTAGAAAACCAAACAATTCAATTGTGATTGACTCACTTGGTGTATCAATAAGAAAATTAAATATTCTTAAGAACCTATTTTTTGGTTAAAATGTTGATTTTTTTGTGAAAAAAATAGTTGCAAATACACCACAAACCCCCAAACACACTGCGAACCCCATCCAAACCCTTTAATTATGATTGTATAACTCTCTATTTCTAAAAAAAATAATAATAATAATTTGATGTTCATATAAACTCATTGTTTGTGGATACCAATACCAATACCCTGATTAAATTTCTGGAAAATTGTGATTCCGCTTCCGTGAAATTGGCCACAAATAAATTATTTTAGTATTAATAAATGTATGATTTATGTTGATTTATTGATTATGTTGTTGCTATTTTTTAACATTTAAATGGAAAAAAAAAAAGTGTTATTCATGGCTTTTTTTTTTATCTTTGAATATTTTATCATTGAATATGTTCCTGCAAAAAGTAAAATGTAAATGGCAATTTATTTGATGTTGGGTTCCTTTTAAAAACTAAATTATT